ATTACAACCTCTTTATTATAACTTAGATTTAAATTTTTATTTTATTATAAAGATAAAAGAATTACCTATTATAAAGTATAATATTATTATTTTTTACTTTTAATTTAGTTTAATATCTAATAAATCAAATATAAATATTTTATATTTTATATTTTATTAATTCATTTTTTTAATGCCTTATTATTTATAGATTGTGCTTCTTATTTCATGCCACCATTTAAAAGAAACTCTTGAGTGAAAACATCTTGTAATTTGGATTAAAAGATGAATTTTATTCTTACAACTATATATTTTAATTAATTATCTAGTTAATTATATGCCACCTAAAATTACATCTAAAGTAGTTTATTTTATATTAGATCATATTTTATAATTTTAAAAAAAATTACAAACTATAATTTGGCTAAAAGACTTAGTTTTATTAACAAATTTCTTAAAACCAATTGATAATAAAGTATCACAAGCTTATGTTGAATTAGAGCAAGGCAGATGCCATTCTTTAAAACCTAAAATAAATCTTATATCTTTTTTAACTCAAAGAACTATGGCAACAAAAGGAGGTAATTAAATCCTTTATACATACCATCAAATTGATATTATAATGTAGTCAAGAAAATTTCTTAATTAATGCCTTTGAATGCTAAAGCATCTGCAATGCATATAATTTAAATTTTATGAGCCTTTGATTTTTTTTATTTTAGATATTTATATCATAGGTTGCCAACATAGATTTATTAATTTTATAACTAATATTTAATTCTTTTTTATGAGGTATTTTAATCAAATGTGTAACATTTATGTTCTTGTCACTCTAAACTTAGTTATTTCTTTATAGAAAATAAAAAAATGTTGTCTATATCGTATGACTCTAAAACTACTAATATATTTATAATATATTTTATACATTACTTACGTTTTCATGTACTAATAGAATTTTTTCCATTTCTATTTGGATATTTAATTCTTAGTCAATCTCAAGAATGAAATGCTACACACAAATTGTAGACTATAATAGCAATAAAAAAACTCTACTTGTATGTACTTCTAATTTTTGTAGCCTTGCTTTTCTATACATTTGTTTTGATAAAAAGATATCTTTCTTACTCTCTATTTCTCTCTTCCATAAATTAATTTTTACATACATATATATATATATATATATATATATACACATATACCTACATATATATAAGTCTATCTAGTCTTTTCAATATTAAGATGGATAAAGTTTTTTGGAAATAATATGTAGCTTTACATGGCTTAAGAGAGTCAAGGGACTTGATGGACATGAATGTGCATCAAAAAGAGATCTAAAGTTAAAAATAAATACCTGCTAATTAGCTTTTCAAAATATTATTTAATAGATTTGATTTTTCTAATATTATATAGATTGTCAAATCATATGAATGCAAAAGTTTATAGATACACTTTTTAGGCATCTTAAGTAGGGATTGCTAAAGCCCTCTTTTCAATGTAGCATTTAGCATAAAACTACTTGATTTCTATTGTAATTGGACTAAGTCCATAATCCTTCTATGCAATGATGTAAATGCAATAATTTAATCTTTGATTGTAGAACTTTATCAATTTTGGCTAAGTAATTGCTTGAGTAGTGTTTGGCTAATATATGTAAAAGGTCTTCGTTAATACAGGTAACAAATTCAGCTTCAAGCTTGAAATGTGGATGCAAAATTTTAAAAGATGACTCAGCTAATGAAAACTCACAAGGCTACCAACACAGGAAGCAATTGTCTTGTGGACTCTCAACACTAAAGTAACTGGAGACTTTTTCCTTTACATGCAAACTTTGTCACACTAAGAAGAGTGTCACACATGTTGAAGACAACTTTTGAAGTGTGTTTTTTGATTGATTTAGAAATGTACAACCACAGATTCCTAATACAAAACTACTTGTGTATGAGAATATGTGTGCCATTAAATCATCTCCAATACTTGGAACAATCTCAGTCCAATCCATGACCTGAGCTACGTTAGTGAATTTAAGCAACACCCACAACGGGAGATTGTATTTTAACACCTTAAGATTAATACTGTGTTCTACTTCCACACAAAAATCATATTTTTTTACTTTTTGTTTGACCTACAGCTGCAATTCAAAATCAGAATTTTCCACGGATAACGACAATGCAAATACAATACACGGACCAATACAATACAATCCACGCATGCACAGAATTGAAGTCACCACAGAGAAAAACTGCCATCATTCCGACCATCACAATACTGACCATCATGGAACCGCAAGACGCGGTTGCAGGTTTATCAACATACAACTAACATTGATGATGCAAAGCACAGGATGGCGCGATAAATTCAACAGAACCTCGCAAACTTCAACGATATAAAATCCACAAAACTTCACATCGCCATTTCATGTCCTAGACCTTGTGCTCTTCAGCTAAGTCGCTCTCAAACTTATGGATGTCTAGCATTGCAAGCTATACAGCAGCAGAGATTCTTTACCGCCCGCTTCTGCACTCTGCTGGTTGGTCGTACATGCAAAGTGAGCAACATGCGTTGCAGGTTCGGCTCTCATGGGATGGGTCTAACTGCCTCCATTAAAACGTTTGCCTGCACAACACAACCCAGATTGGTGAACCGATCACGGTCTCCACCAGTCTCTGCGGTGGTGGTGGAATTGAGAACAGAATCATGCTGCATTCTTCTGGAAAAAGCACTACGCAGAAGCAAATTGTCGCTGAAGAGGTAAACACTCTGGAAGCTAAGTTTCACTTGTGACCGTAAGGTGTGGTGGTTCAGTGGAAGCGAAAAGCTGCAAGCAGCATTTGCATATGGAGATTGCAGAAGAGTATGCAAAGGGCAAAGTAAATCAAGAGTGGCCCACTTACCAGCACACGTTTGGCCCTTCTTGTAGCCTACTCCACATTTGTTGGGGATGTCAAGAGCCTTGTTTAGCTCATTTCCAGCTAAGGGTCCGTTGCAAAGCTTCACTCCTTGGATGGCCGCGCAGTACTCCTTCAAGCTTGCATTGGAGTTGACAAGCTTGAAGTTGTTCTGGACCTCAATGCAGCAGATTTTCAAAGGTCTTACATTTCGAGGTTCAAGTACATGGGGTGCGCAGCTCAAAGGGAACTGGGGTGAGCAAGGCGCTGCTTGGGCGCCAGAGCTCACCCCCATCACCAAGACCACAAGGAAACCAAGCACCCCAGTCATCGTCGCCATCACCACAGTAATGTTGAGAGATGACACGTTAAAAGATACCAGAAAGTTGTTGAGAGAGATACGTTAGAAGGTACTAGAAAAACAAGAACTGCAATGGGGCAGAGAGTACTGCCTGAGGGGCTAACTTATACGGCAGATGCATTCGATATCTACCCAAGTAACGCGCCTCTGGCGGCATCGTCATCGCGGGCTTGCTTACCTGCCCAGTCGCTGGGTGGAAAAGAAACGTGGTCGACCATGGTGCTGATGGCAGTAAAGCAACCAGCGTCACCTCAACACACATGTTCAATCTCTGAGTTTGAATTACAAATCCACCCACCATCAAACGGGGCTGTCACGATTAGTGGCGAGCCATGACTTGTTATCAGATTTCAATGAAACCAGGACTGGTTATCAGATTACAAGGAAGCGAGGAACAGGTTGCAAGGAAAGGTATCGAATCTCATTACCAAGATGATGCACTCTCTGAGATCAACATCTTAAGCTCTTGGATGTGGGTCGTGGACATGTTGGGGAAACAATTGAACCACAGCGTGGAACACTGGTGAAGTAAAATTTGAATGCAAAGAGGACAGTAAAAGGTGCAAGAGAGAATGTGCACAAGACTTGCTTCCTATTCCCAGAGAGCACGACTGCAGTTGGAAGGGGCCATGGGGAACAGAAGCCCACTGGGTCCCCCTAATTAGGTCTCACTCTGACCATGATGAGCTGGACATGGCTTCTCCAAGCGTCCACCACACAGGCTCCATGAAATTTGACCCTTCTTGTAGAAAACTTCACTTCATTTTAATGAGCTGGGCCAACATGTTCTCCAGAAGTTAAAACATAAGAGTATAAAAATGAAACATGTGAAACCACTCCTGTATGTTTTTAAAAAACAAGTATTCATGAATTTATTCAACAAATTCATACGGTTCAATTTGGTCAGACACCAACCAATCAACAATGCATATGTAACAATTATGAATACCAAGATTGACCTTGATGTTTCTGTACAAACCAAATGGATGATGATGTGTGTAATATCAGAGCATTATCTTCTCCAATTGAACTTGATCTACAAAATGGATTGTAGACAGCATATACATTACATTACATATGAGCATTCACATTACATTACATTACAACAATCCATACACACATTACATTCAATTTATTTGTACAAATGCTGCTCTGATGTGTTTAAAGTATATGGCTCAGTTTGCACCATCTATCAGCAAGTCACATTTCAGCTGATGTCTTAGAGAACGTTGAAATTGCAAGGCCCTGCCTCACCTTTGGTTGGTGGAGAAGTTTACAAAATTTTGTTCATGAAACCATAACTACTAATGAAATTGATGCAGGACATGTGCATCACTTTGAGCTTCTTAAACAAAAGGTTGTGACTGTTGTTCCTATTCACAATTAAAGCATGAGAGAGTATGATTTTACATTTATCTAAAAGTTAGTAGAACAATAACATATTCTACAGATACATAGCATCTAGAAGTGTTGCATCAGCACATTGGGATATCGCAGTTTTCTCAAAAGTTGGTCCCTAACACTATCGGAAATCTATGTATCATAGAGAACCTTTATGTATTTTATTTTTGTGATGTTAAAGTTGCAATGGATAGTGTACCAGAAGTGGTGGAAGCTTGTCCAAATTCAATTGCTTTACTGCCATCAGCACCATGGTCGACCACGTTTCTTTTCCACCCAGCGACTGGGCAGGTAAGCAAGCCCGCGATGACGATGCCGCCAGAGGCGCGTTACTTGGGTAGATATCGAATGCATCTGCCGTATAAGTTAGCCCCTCAGGCAGTACTCTCTGCCCCATTGCAGTTCTTGTTTTTCTAGTACCTTCTAACGTATCTCTCTCAACAACTTTCTGGTATCTTTTAACGTGTCATCTCTCAACATTACTGTGGTGATGGCGACGATGACTGGGGTGCTTGGTTTCCTTGTGGTCTTGGTGATGGGGGTGAGCTCTGGCGCCCAAGCAGCGCCTTGCTCACCCCAGTTCCCTTTGAGCTGCGCACCCCATGTACTTGAACCTCGAAATGTAAGACCTTTGAAAATCTGCTGCATTGAGGTCCAGAACAACTTCAAGCTTGTCAACTCCAATGCAAGCTTGAAGGAGTACTGCGCGGCCATCCAAGGAGTGAAGCTTTGCAACGGACCCTTAGCTGGAAATGAGCTAAACAAGGCTCTTGACATCCCCAACAAATGTGGAGTAGGCTACAAGAAGGGCCAAACGTGTGCTGGTAAGTGGGCCACTCTTGATTTACTTTGCCCTTTGCATACTCTTCTGCAATCTCCATATGCAAATGCTGCTTGCAGCTTTTCGCTTCCACTGAACCACCACACCTTACGGTCACAAGTGAAACTTAGCTTCCAGAGTGTTTACCTCTTCAGCGACAATTTGCTTCTGCGTAGTGCTTTTTCCAGAAGAATGCAGCATGATTCTGTTCTCAATTCCACCACCACCGCAGAGACTGGTGGAGACCGTGATCGGTTCACCAATCTGGGTTGTGTTGTGCAGGCAAACGTTTTAATGGAGGCAGTTAGACCCATCCCATGAGAGCCGAACCTGCAACGCATGTTGCTCACTTTGCATGTACGACCAACCAGCAGAGTGCAGAAGCGGGCGGTAAAGAATCTCTGCTGCTGTATAGCTTGCAATGCTAGACATCCATAAGTTTGAGAGCGACTTAGCTGAAGAGCACAAGGTCTAGGACATGAAATGGCGATGTGAAGTTTTGTGGATTTTATATCGTTGAAGTTTGCGAGGTTCTGTTGAATTTATCGCGCCATCCTGTGCTTTGCATCATCAATGTTAGTTGTATGTTGATAAACCTGCAACCGCGTCTTGCGGTTCCATGATGGTCAGTATTGTGATGGTCGGAATGATGGCAGTTTTTCTCTGTGGTGACTTCAATTCTGTGCATGCGTGGATTGTATTGTATTGGTCCGTGTATTGTATTTGCATTGTCGTTATCCGTGGAAAATTCTGATTTTGAATTGCAGCTGTAGGTCAAACAAAAAGTAAAAAAATGTGATTTTTGTGTGGAAGTAGAACACAGTATTAATCTTAAGGTGTTAAAATACAATCTCTCGTTGTGGGTGTTGCTTAAATTCACTAACGTAGCTCAGGTCATGGATTGGACTGAGATTGTTCCAAGTAATGGAGGGGCATGTGCCACACACTTTTCATCCCCGTCATGTCTGGTGAGCTCGTGGTCATCTGCTCTTCAACACCACCAAAACAAACAAAAAATAACACAAAACGAAACTTACAAAAGCACGTGAGCTGCCGCACTGCTGTGCGGCGGCTGTTGGGTAACTTCAACTGCAGGAGAACGAAATTGGACATGAAAAGAGAACCGGAAGGAAGTTGGACGTCCGAAGGAAAAGATTCCAGGAAGAAGGAGTTCAAGCGAAGGATATAAGTGGACGAAAGAATAGCCACTTGGTTATAAAATTTAGAGTACAAACCGCATTCAAGTGAAGGGTATTGATTATTGCTGGGGGCTGTGCGTGTCCAACTGGTCCACCAGTTAAGGTGGAAGGTTTCTCTCTTCAGGGTTACCGGATTCAATGAAGGATGAAATGAGCGAGTAAAAAAATTCAAATAGTATCTCTCTCTCTCTCTCTCCCTCTCTCCACCTCGTTTCACCTAGACGCCGCAGAGCTCACCAACACGTACAGAATTCCACGGTTTGGTTTTGCCAAAAGCTCTGGAACCCACGCCTTTATTCCCTCACTTGGAGCCCTCTCCTTTTTGGTTGTCCCGCGTGCACATTCACTCGTAGCTTCTAGTGGCAGGTCCACCATGTTCATATGGGAAATGGCAATCGGCAGCTGCTTGTTTGCCTGTCTCTCTTCCTGACCTCCTCGCAAGAGCACGTACTGTGGTGAATTTGCCTGTACCACGATCGCTTGCGATCATCAAGCCTCCAACGTCGGGTTCGATCGCATTCCATTTCAAGCACATCGTCATCTCTTCTTGACCCACAATTATTGTGAAGGGAATGGAATTCGCAGTCGAAAATAACTCTTGAAGGATGAAATCCGAATTGGCAGACGTCAATTGGAGTGAGAAATTCGACCAAAATGGGCGCATCCACGCCTGGCGACATTGTTTACCCTCAAAGCGCCAGCAACTCCCTTCTCCTGCACCCGGTATCCAGCCCACGAAACTCTGGCACAAGACACTCCCCTGGCAAAACAAAACCTTGTTTCTGCCGCTCAAGTGCACCTGCTTGGTGGTGGTGGTGGTGGTAGCGGCGGCGGCGGCGTTGCTCCCACAGAATGCACCGATTGCTTTCCTAGCGGTTTGTACCAGCCTGACCATGACTTCTCTACAAATCCTGCAGTCCCCAAACCTACTCGAATTGAAGAAGAAATTCAGTGAACAGAGCAAGTCTGAAACAACAGATGAAGAACAAGAGCAAGTTTCGGCATCCTGGAAGCGAGCACAGTGTAGCGTCGATATTAAAAGGAATCGTGTGACTGCCATTGGATGAAGAGACCTCTCTACGGTTTAGCAATTCTCCTCCAGACTAGCTCATCCGTTCCCATACATCCATCTTCTCCCCACGGATTAGAGATACCCCCTGAAAATATCCGGTCACTTTACACATCTAGCTTCACCCAACTACTGTTTCGTACAACTGCATGTAATTTTTCTCAAAAACCTGAAATTCAGAGTAGCAAATGTGAAGATTCTAGGTTTTTCTAAATTTGATAAAAATGGGACTGCTGTAGACAATCGGAAATTGCATCGAAGAAATCTATGCAGTTTGGACAACCAATGTGGCGGGCCCTGAATGGTGCTATATCGAACTCCATCGCCATTTACCGAGTTGAGCTGAAGCTGAAGCTGCACTCTTTACAGTAGACCGACCTCTCATCGACAATCCGAAGCTATCGCTTCGGCCCTGGTGCTTTATCATCAGCAGCCATCAAGTCAACTTCGAGTATCTGCCGCTACCTCCGAAATCCACTCCTCCTGTGTATGGATTCCACTTGGGTAGCGAGAAACAGCCCACCTTTGCTTTTCTGAAGTTTTGTCGAATTAGAACATATCGTGGTTTTGAATTGATGTGTTTGGGTTAGGGTGAGTTGGATAGTAGGAATATTGCCGCGGTGGGGGAGTGGGAGCGCTTGTTGGAGGAGTTTTCGCGTGCAGAGATGCGAGGTGTATTTGCAATGGCTGCGGGGCAGGCCATAGCTGGGAGCCTAGTGCTTGGATCCTCGGCATCATTTGCAGCTCCCCACTGCAATGACAGTAATCGCTCATTAGCCTTGGCGAGGAAGCCGTTTGCGGTTACGCTTGATGTGAGCAGCAGCAGGGCTTTAGGGAAGAGTCGGTTCGAAATCAGGCACTCGTTTCCTTTGGGAAAGAGATTGCGTCGCTCTTGTTTGCGAGTCTCGGCGCTTCAACAGACTTCGACCAAGAGTGTCAGATGGGTGCTTGACCCTTGTGGTGAGTGTTCATGGACCCTCGCGCTTTCACTCTAAAATATCACTTCAATCTTGGCACTCTACATCAGCTCTGAAATGCTTTGCAGAGAATCGGTGACAATACACTCTATCTTCTCTGAAACTGAATTTTATCGACCAATCTTGATAATGGGTTGGTATTGGATCTGGTTGTGAGTGAAACTAGAGTGCTGCGTTTGGTGTCAACCAAATCGGTTTCCCTTAGTGCCTCCGTCATGCTTACTCTTCTACAGGTGATGGGAATACGAGTCACCTCGGAGCACCAGTACCTTTGCCCAGCGGGTTTGAGCTAGCCTCTGTAAGAATTTCCCCACTTCGTTTCTTAATTTGGCTTGCTGCTGTGGCGATTACGTTTGAACTTAGGGAGATGAATCAAACCACAAACCACTGGAAGCATCGATGGATCGAATGTTGGTTTCAACTCTCTGTGAATCTGTGAGTTTGTAAAAGATGGCGCATAATTCTAACAATTGATATCCACTTGAGTCCCAAGATACATTGTTGTGAAGCCAATCCCAGCTTCTTTTATGTTGAAGACTCAGGTTTTTTGTGGTTTTTTTCATTAGAACAGAGAGCAATTGACCGCCTTGAGTAACTCCAATCAATAAGGTGATTTAGTATTATGAGATATTTTCCAACTTACTTGGAAACTGACCTTACTTAGCATTCTAATTCACTTGGTGGAACCGGAGTCTACCAGTTTCGATCATCGAATGATTTGCTTGTTTACAGAGTTGGGTCAGTGCCCACATGCTTCATGCAGAAAGTAGAATTGGGTTCCGATTTGCATGTAGATCTCAAAGGAGCCTCAGTGGTGTTGCAATCCAGTATAACATGAACCTCCCGCAGGATAACGTGACAGTTGGACGGGTTAAAGACAAAGCTGATGTCGTGATTCCTGTAGCTACAGGTACGCGAATAGATAATTGACTCATCCAGGTGTATCGTGAGCGCATTTTCTCCGTTTTTCATATTAGCCATGAAGTTTTAACGAAGCAGTTGGATTGAGGCTCTCGTACTAATCCCCAACCTGTGATCCTGGCTTTGTATTCAGTTTCCGGTGTTCATGCACGGCTGGAAAAGAAAAGTGGGGTACTCTATGTGACTGATCTGGACAGCACAAACGGCACATATATTAACAACAGGAGAATCCGACCCGGAGCTGTGACGCCTGTACCCCCTGGAAGCTACATTACCTTCGGTACGGGCGCATATTGTTGCTTAATGCTGCTCCTTATTGAAAACTTTCTGGATTGTTTGGGTCATTTTTGCGAGGTGAATGTAATCATGTTACCGCGCTGCAACCAAACCTGTCTTGAATAAGGAGTAAAGATAGTTTAATGTTGTTTAATTACTACTCACGGATTGGAAGTAGCCCGCTTAGTCAAGTCAAATAAACGAAACGAAAGCAAGATATGTCAGTCAATCTCCAATGCTTGGCCAATCACCTCCCCATGGGTTGTTCCTATGATGCTGGAAGCTTATAAGCTTGTGTTGCAGATCAAGGGAGGATTCCTTCTCGTTGGGCGAAACGGTGCTGAGCACGGCTGACAAAGGAAACTCGTTTGTGATGTACAGGCGATGAACACTTGGCTGTTTTCAGATACTTACAATTAGAAGAGGATTCGCCTGCAGAAGCACCTGCGGAGGTGCCCTCGGAGCCCTCGGAGGCCTCAGCAGAGGAACCCTTGGAAGCGCAGCCTTTAGAGGCAGCTGCAGATGCTCCAGAACCTTCTCCTCAGTGAAGAGGCCTTAGCGTGGTTTTTGACCCTATTTTGTGATCGACATGCGAACTCACCCAGAGTGAAGGACCATTGTCGATTCAGGCTGGAAAGCGGCACTTGTTATTTCTGAGAGAACTGTCACTCACTGTCAATCTAGCTGCATTTGTTACTCCCAGTGATTCACGATTTGATGCTCTGAGTTCTCCCCCTCCCCTCCCTTTGGGTTGTAGAGGCCCAGGAAGTGCTTTGCATCTTTGTTTGCAAATCTATCAAAATCTTGACACATCATAGACGGTACACTCTCGAAGACAAGTCTCTTTATGTTGATTGTCTTACTGTATGTGCTGGAGTAACTCTTTTATGTCCAGTATTCATTCATGTGTTTTGGAAGTTAATAAGTCGCTGTGAAGCTGGATTTTGGATGCATATGGACTTGCGTGTATTGTGTTCTTTTTTCCATGCTGTGAACTACCGATACTGGTGCCGAAAGTGAACGCGGTCTTATCGGCCATTTTTTAACTTTTAAAATTTCATAATTTAATAACATATAAATATATTTCTCGAAAACTCAACCTTATTGTAATTCGTAATTTTCTTAAAAAGAGTCATGTGGTGATGGAAAAGGCGCCACTTCACAAACTTCGTTTCATTCTTTTATTTTACTGTATGTTATTTCAACGAGTACGTTTGTTTCCTAACTTTCAATTGAAAGTGTCATTTTCATGTTTCAGCCACTTTCAGACAAACTTTATCCTTCGCTCATTTTACAATGCGTTGATATTAATGTGTTATGGTGAATTAAAATTAATACAGGGTTCACATTTGAAACAAATCAATAAATTGTTTCATTTTGAAGTGCACATTTATAACCAGTTGGTTGAAAAAATCTTAAATTAATGTGTGTTTGAAGGACTTGAACAATCTTTACCTTTCAGCGAGTAAAACATTTTCCTAACGGCAGTGGCTGAAATGCGAAGAAACGAGATGTAATGCACTAATTCTAAACTGGTGAATATCCTCACAAACATTCAGGGCATGCATTACCAATATCAACCTTCAGTACTGCAGCTCAATTACAAAGATAAGAGAGAATTTCAAATATATCTGACTATTAACCACAACCTACAAACAGAAAATAATAAGCACTCATCCAACAAATACCCTCCATGTTTGAAAGGTGATCGTGATGAACGTGATTTAACATGAGGCTATCCCAGGGAAGCGAGGACTTATGGAACGTTCCACAAATGGATTCTCATGCACAACAGAAAAACCAATAGTGCCACTTACAATTGAATTAACCAAGTTAAATAATAGTATCTAAAATAAAGACAATTATGAGGTGTACGAAAATCAGTACATGGTCCTCAAGGTTTCAGTAGCGGCACTTGCCGCAACTACCAAACGTGCCGGAAGTCTGCCCTGAAGACATCGATCAACATGCAGTGGCTCAAGAGTAGCACCATCAAAGATCAAATTGACGCCTGGCGAAGGAACATCATTTGAATCATCTTCATCGAGGAGATAGAGCATAGGTACGCCACCAGTACTTTTGTGAAAAACAGATCTGTTAGCCATATCTGGTCCATCTGCTAAAGCATACGCAGAAGTCGCTTTTGGGCCAGAAGCTTGATAATCCGTGATGAACTCCTGTAACCTTTGCCTTACGTCATGCATTCCTTGCCGGTGTTTGATGAGAGATGTAGGCGAAAAAAGATGCGATTGAAATATTCCTTGGCATACACTTTTGCATAGCTCTGTATCGAAAAGTGGAACTCCAAACTCAATGCTTTGTGGAACCCACTCAAAGCAGCTCTCCTTATGTTCTTGTGGGTCTCTGCATGGGATCTGTACTAGCCGAATGTAACCTAGTGTTTCGAGGGCAAGTTCGTTGGCAGCCTGAATAAGAGATGGGTGAACTTCGGAAGATTCAAAGAGTGGTAAAGGAACATTTCTCGTCACAGGCTTTCCTGAGCCTCCAGAATCCAAATGTGTCTTCGGAAAGGGTTGGATGAGTATAGCATTGTGCTTCAACAGTGTATTCACACAATGCAGCAAAATACTCCCTTCTACAAGCGTACCTTCAAACTTGCCTCCAACTCCGTTTGTACCAGCACCATCCCAAGTCCACAGAAGAGCTTTTGCACAGCCTGCTAGTGGAGGAGGTAGAGTTCTAAACCGTTGACCCTTGATCAATGCAACAGATATGGGGCCTGATCCTGCTGTCTGATATAACAAAAGTTTCATCCAAGGGGATATCGACGCACGTGATGGAGGACCAAAATGCGCGGGACCAAGTCCATCGGATGAGCAAACTGAAGGAGGAGATGGCAGTGGTATCATCGACACAACCACATCATAATCTCTCCGTAAAACTCGTTGCATAGTGGCTGGGGCCAGGTCTTGCAAACTTTCTATCCGGATTACATCAACACGGGAAGAGGGCTTGTGTGTCTGCACATTTTCCTTAGACAAATTTCTTCCAGTCAGATTCAGAGCAGCACCAAACCGCATTGCAACCTTTGTGTCCGCCATATCAGGCGGGACAGTAGTCATTTCTGCAGTTTCTGCACCCCTCTCAGCAGCATTGGTAGAGTAATCTTCAAAATCGCCAACACTTTGCTGAACTAACTGTCCAGATTGCGACGGTTCATTTCCATCTGCAAATCTATGAGGCTCTAGATGAAATCCACCAATACCACCTTCGCCTGCCTCCTCAACTTCCAAATCAGTGCCTTGAGATCTCAAACATTCTAAAGCATGACGAAGGCTGAAGGCGTGGTCAGCAAATTGTTGCAACTCTCCTTCCATTTTTGTCCCTTCTACTTGCCGAAGAACCTCACACATATCAGCCACGCTAGAATCTCCGAGTTTTCCAGCCTCGAAGAGTGTAACCGCATGACCCTTCAGACCTGCACATTCGATAAATAGTAAAATCTCTTGTGAAATCGGACCAGTTCAAATCTCATAAATAGCAGCTTGGATGCTAGTGAGATTCAAACCTGGAGAGAGAGAACCCATCATCAAGTACGATGTAAGGTTGGCGTCCACCATGTAAGCAAAACGCGTCAAACCAGCTTGGCCCTTCACCAAATCTACATCTGGTGGGCCCAAAGCACCAACCCGTGATGGACTGGTGAATGGGCTGAGCATCCGATCATCCCCAAAACTTCGAGGAGATTCAGGTATAGATGAATCCTGTAAAAAAGAAATCGGGTCGAGGAACTTCTTTGCCCATCCAAGTCGGGAAGCCAGCGATACAGCTGACTGAAGTTGCTCGAGGTTGGCCTGAAGGGTTTGCGCAAGTTCCGCGACAGTTGTTTGTTCACTAGATGCCACAAATACGGCATACAAAAGCCTGAAGTTCCCAGACAGTTATCAATTAGATCTAATTCACAGCCATGCGCAGCAGAATTAACTTCATGGTAAACATACAGTATCGTGATCGAGCTTCCTTAGATATCGAAAGAAGACTTGACTATCAAACAAGAAATGGAAAACATTTCTATTTCAAGGTTTTCTCCTCTAAGCATTAACCTTCACCATATAAATAACCATAAATGTATTCGGGTCAAACTCATAGTAGTTCGTCTTGTACATAGCAGTATTCGAAGGGACATATTTATGGAGACAAAAAGGTACCCTTATAAGCACCAACTTACTCTTCTGTTGGATCCTCGTATTGCTGGTTTCGATTGGAAACGAAACCCTCCAGAGTTGACACTGCATGATTCGGTGAAAGTGAAGATAAGAGAATACGAGATAACTTTTCTATAGGATAACTACAAAGCCTCAGACAAGCAACGAATAATAACTCTATGCAAACCAACTCATTTACAGAAACTCATCGAACCCTGTTCTTATTCTTGAGGAAAGTTTTCAGATATAGTTTGTAACAGAATACTTTCAGGTGCAAGCATACCATTTAACAAGCTCAATCACGATGTTGTATGCAATCAAAAGCAGAAAGACGTTGTATCATCTGTACAATTTTGAGAAGCCACGAGTATGGCGTCTAAAATAATATTCGAGAGAAATACAGCAGACCGGGGTAGGATCGGAGGGTAAGAAGAGGAAGGACACAATCCAGAGGATGAGAAAAGGGCGAACCTTGAAAGTGGTCATCCGGGTACACAGGAACGTCCAAGTAGATCAAACCTCGCCGATAAAGGGATCGCAGCACATCGACGTCCACCTCACCAACAAGGTTAACCCCTTCCTTGCCTAAGCGGTCGCTATTGTCACCATCCCCTCCACTTATTACAGCCATCTCCTCCTCTGACAATTTCTACACCATGACATGAGGGACTCTTCTTAGATCATCATAGAGAAGCTACAAAGTTTATCACGCTTCCACGACGTAAAGGGAAGTACAACGGAGCAATCTCAAAACATCTTAGACTACGACATCATGCACATATAGTCCATTTTTACATATCCAATTGGAAGTAGATGAAAGTTGGGGTCAAAGAATGAGAATTTCCCAAATTTTACCCGATACTCATCAGTGGTCAAATTAACAAAACAAACAACCCACCACGGCTCCATGCGGAAGTTAACCGGTTGTGTAGGCAACATTTCTTTAACAATGGACTTATTGAGCTTCCACATTAATTTCTGCACGAAAACCCCATAAAAACATCAGGACTTGTATTGGATCACACAGGTCTAGTTGGTGACCGAAGCATCCACAAATGAATCATTATACAGAGAAGCAGGCCACGTCAGCTTTAAAATTTCTAGTTGGTGAAGAGCTAACAAAGAACACATTTAGTATTACCTTAGCACGACACTTATTCATTATATCAATGAATTCGTTCCGACCTATTCCAGTGAGCCTTAACACATCTGCTGCTGTGAAGTTGGGAATCGAATCATATGGTTGCTCTGCAACAAAATAAATAAATAAATAAATAAATAACCAACTTCAGAATAGACAGTGAATTTTACTTCAAAGGAGTGGGGCAGCACCCAAATTAGCCACCCTGGCATCATACACAGCTTATTCTGACATCTGAATCTGTGCACTCATGCTTGGCGCTGTTTCTATGAGTCCGTATGTCCCCAATTTTACTGTTTTCCATGTGAAAGAGAAATCTACCACATAAACTACCAAACAAATCGATGGCAAACTGAAATAAACAACTCAGCTAAAGCAGGTTCAACTAGGGTGAATGATTTACCATTTTTCATTACATCATACAATAATCCGTGGTAGTATCGGAAGGGAGTAATACGCAGAATTCGGCAGACATTCTCTGATAGATGATACGGAAACAACTGATGAAGTCAAACAATCAAACACGCCCATGGTATTAAAATTAGACCTCCCACTTGCAAACTGTACAGTCCACCTTCTCCACATCACCTGAATCAGTAAAGTCGAGAAATACAAATAGACCATTTACATTTGATACATCCACAACCAAATGATTCCTTTATGAGTTCGCTGGATAAGCATATGCATGAAAATTAACAAATATAACCAACAAGCTTGCTGCCAAATCGTACGTCCATGAACCCGCCGTACCATCAGTGAGCAAGAATCCTTTCAAAAAATCCTACTCTATCATGAGGGATCTAAGACAAGACGAACCGCAAGATTTTTTCGCAAATAACGAACGAGGTCTTCATAATAATCGTTCTCTCGGCAAGCGTTACGTGCAGCACATTCACTCCACTTCAGACGCTTTTTGATGCAATATTCCTTCACCCTAAAGCTCCATAAATTATAAATTATCGTTAGTAAACACAAACCAAGACTTGCTTCAATTGTATGAATGTATCCATCATTGTCATCAGTGTGTAAAAAAGTCAATAGAAAATGCAAATCGCACGCAGTGCATGTCCACGAGTCACGATGAATTAAAACACTACTGATATCGGTCTTATAAATTAAAGTTCATTCAAGACACAACGCCAATGCCTATTTTAAACGCAGAATTTGTTGTAAAAAGTGGAATAATGTCACAAAAAAACCACGGGGATTAAGATTAGACTCGATTGAGATGAGCTATTTTTACCGCTTCTGATACTCTTCGTTTGAAGCCAACGAATTCTTAAGACGTTTGGGAAGTTTCTCCCAGGGCGTCTCCTCCAATATAGCTATCACTAATAACTCCTCCTCTGTTTTCAACGTCGCATGCTGCATTTTGCCTCTTGTGGTGTTTGTAGCGTCTGATGTGTCGATGCCACTGCTGTAAATCAATTATCTGCCTTAGATGCGCACACAAACAAAGGAAAACGTCAAGAATGATAGACACGATAAATGTATGCCTAGTTCTTTGCATACGGACTTAATCTGATATCAAGCATACATAACTGTACCGGCTCTCAAAGTTACTGAAGCTACACTGTGAAAAAACGGGTATTGGAAGGTTGCATTCAACAAGAATTTGACCTTTCTTGCCAGTCTCACCTGAATGGATTCTGATTGACTCCAAACAGTTCCTGAAAAACCAGAATCATGATTGTATCTACTCAACTTTGCAGGTGTGCGCATCGACCTGAAATAAGTACAAGTCCAGACATCCCCTGAAAAGCCCTTCAATATCGCGGCATTTAGTCTGGTATTATTTCAAAAAAAAAAAAAAAAAAAAAAGGGGGGATGATAAAGCTGAGCCCCAACCCTTGTCAAAAGGGCAGCATTCTTTCCTCATAATTAAACAACAAGACTCAGCCAGACACAATGGTGTATAATTGCCAGTAATTTGCGAGTGTAGCTACGGGGAAGTTCCCTTTTCGTAGACAAGTTTGATCATAAGGGAAAAATTATGAATAACAGAAATGAATAACTGGAGATGCAAGTTAAATCGAGTGGACATCACTCTCCAAGTTTGCGCACCTAATGGTACAGGAGCGCACAACAACAAACAGATGTTCAACATCATTCCGCTCTGGCAATTCCCTCGTATTACACCTAACACGCTAATTTCTCAACAGCAGCGTTCGAGATCTCTTCACAAATACTAGCTGCATCCAGCTCCCCTCACGGCTCAACACCTTCTCAACTCACCAAAACCGACATCTCCCTACCAAATACTGACCATCTCAACCGCAATGTACACTACAGGTAGTCCAAAACAGCAATCAGCTCTTGAAAACTTAAAGTCATCCTCGAATCCCACCTACACTCAAAATTAGAGTCATCAACCTTCCTACGTTTCACCAAATCACGGCCAAAACAAGATCGAACAATCACAACCGACCTGACAGAATGCGTTCAAACTTACCAAGCCGTTCCTCTCCGCGACACGAAAATGAGTTGAAGCTAAGTGTGACCTAAAAAGAGAGTAACAACACCGCGCGCCCCTGGCATTGCAATGCAGAGTTGGGGATATAGTCGGCGACGAGCAGGGACTATGAAATCGGAGACTGCACGAGTGCCTGGCCAGGACGCGAAGCGTGTGAGTGCCACACTTGAACGCTGGGAGTCACGACGACGATTGCGAACGGACGAGCGCATCCACAAACCCTGGAGAAAGTCGTCGCCTCAGTCAACGATCTGTCACCGTCTTTGTTGACGATGACGATTCTAATTCCGCAGCGGAACTCTGTTCACTGCGCGCTCCTGCAGACCAGAGGTGTAACTGAAACCCAACGGAAAATCTGGTCCTAGCGCTTTCGTTGACATCACTCTCCACGTGGCACATCGGATGCCGCCTCCATCCGCTCGTGGAACGAAAATACTTTTGTCCACTTTCGTTTGCGGAAACGTCTTCGAGTGTATTCTTGGACTGGTTTGAAATAATGTCTACAACTAACTCATCAAAATATATTCATTTGTGCTAATTCATTTTTTAAATATTCCATATTTATTCTTAGTCATGTGAAAAAATAATTATTCGATGTGTATTTTTTAGTTCTCAGATTTAGATTTGAATTGGGGAAATTCTTTTAAACTTGCCAGTAATAATGCTTCCTCAAAACAAAAAAAAAAAAAAAAAAAAAATGTTAATAAAATTAACAAAAAAATTGTTGTTTTCAGCACAATAAAAATCTAAAATATGCAAGTATTTATAAATCTACAAGTACTATAGATGCCTGTACTGTCTAAATGCATCCAGATAAATACAAGTAGGTAAAATATATTAAATGAATGATATTTTCTTGAAAAAAAAAACATAAAAAATAATTTTTCCCGGTAAATTGGATCTAAAAGTACATCTTGTGGCTATTATATCTTCCTCAAGAAGTTTTTACGCAAGCATTTTACAACTATGACATTTGGCTAGCAAGTCTCATTATTTGATGAAAGCTTCTACATAGTTGAAAGCTTCCACTAATTATCTATATATATATATATATATATATGAATAAAAATTACAATGTATGTTGCATGAATACCATATAATAAATAATACAAACATAAACATTAGTATTTTATAAATTTAAATATAAAACATTTTATTTAGATTAAATAAATATTTTGAATGTAAATTAATATTATAAAAACATAAGAAATTTTTATTTAATAAAATAAAATATTTAATCTTTAATAATTACAATTTAACTTATCTAATAGCATAAAAAGAAAGATATCATTTAGCAAAAATGTTTATTAGAAACATCGAAGCAAAACATTATTGTTATTTTTAAACTAATAAAAATAGGTTATACAATATTACTAAAAATGTACATTCAAAATTATATATATAAAAACATGAAATTATCTCTTACACCATCTAAGGCCATGTCTAATAGCACTCTTTTATCTACATTAGTAAATGTTTTTAGTCTTATTGCTGAAAGTTTGTTTACACATTTAAATATAAAAGAATCTATTAATTTTCTCACCAATTTTATAACCTCTTTACTATTCCTACTCTAATCTTCAATTCTCAAGCAACTATTATAATATTTTATCTATCCTCTATACAACACATAAAAGCTAAAATTTGACTTCTAACCTAATATGATTATAAAATCTATTTATAAATTATGGATTTTATCTTTATGGAACTTCAATTGTATTTAGACATGATTTCTTTTTGCAAGGTCAAATTTTATTGTATATAAGATCACAACATCATATTAACTATTAGTTGGTACTTTATAAGCTTTCATTATCTCTTTTTCTATTGTTCCAACTACTAATTTAAAATCTTTAATATTATTATTAAATGTTCAAATCATTGATTCTGTTATTACATTTAGAGACAAATCTAATTTGTTACATTAGCCACCATAAAAAAAACTCGATTGTTATTTATATTGGTTCAAAGTGCCAACATTTTGTAGTATACCTTTAAATAAGTAGGAGATAGTACTTATGAAGAGCAGTAAGAGAGACATTAAACCACACTATTAAATTAAAATTTACTATTGTAAATAAATTGTGGCATAATTTTAGTAACTTTTACTTCAACAATTAAAATATAAGAAGAAATCCTTTATTAATTATAGTAGTTTATCTAATCTAAATGCAATGGCAATTCTTGCAATAAAAGACATGAACATTGATTGAATCATACCAAAATTTCATCAATACCTCAAATCAATCTTGCTGCGTGAAATTAAAAGATGTAGTAGACAATTGTGTAGCAAGACATACTATTTTTAAAACAAAGAAAAAATACAAAAAATAAAAAAATGCTAATATATATTTTATTAAAATAAAAATAAAAATAAAAATAAAGCACATTACTACTCATTGAGTTTAATCTTCCAATGATATTTCTAATAATGATCACAAGTAGTTACAAGCTAGTCAATCACAATTAAAAACACACATTGATAAACATAACATGAGAATCCACACCGGTTTCCATATTTGAGGATTCACTTAAACACGTTTTGGCCACCTTAAAAACCGCGCAGTATGTAACCGGACCTCGAGACAAGGCTGTCGTATTCAATAAAGCAAACATTATGGTTTGTGCGTGGGACCATATGCGCCGAAGGAGAGAGATTTGGATGGCCGGCAAGTGTCCACCGGAACCAGATGCAGAAATTCCAGCTCGTCTCTGTTTAACGCGCAATCGCGGGCAGGCAAGTGTCTGGAAGGATGAGAGCGTGATTCCGTGGATTCCGAGGGCTGGAGCGTGATGCCGTGGCTTCGGAGGGATTGCATTGCGTTGCATTGCATTGCAGAGCATCGCGTCGAGAGCTCCTCAGAGTGCTGGGTCAGTGGTGCCTGAGGCGGCTATGGTGATCACCTCCAGGTTGATGCTGCAGGCATTGCCAGGTCCGGGTCGCCTCCTTCCCAACCTCCACCTTCATGCGACCACGGGCAGCTTGCCCGCCTTTATTGCCCGCGGCGTGAGCTCTTCCTGCGTTCAAGCCAATTGCGTCAAGCTCGGAGGAACTCCAGGGGCGTGGCGCGACTGGAGGGTGTTGGCGAACCCTAGGGTGAGCAGGGAAACTGTGTGTGGCGCTCCGGCCAGCGGACGGACTCTGCGGTGCTGTGTCGTGTCGTCCTCTGCGATGGCTGGGCGTTGCAGTGATCCGCCTCCAATGTATCGCGCCAACGTTGGTGTGGCTCTCATCAATGACAAGAATGAGGTTAGTGCTCCTGCTGGAGGTTTTCAAGCATACTCCACCATTGCGAATTGTTTGCTTTCGTATTGTGTGGAGTCTTCATTTTGAATGTGTGGAATCCTGGACCTGTTACTTAGTTCTTAGAATATGCTTTTTAGGTCTGTAGGAGAGTCTGGTTGTTAGCCCGTAGAAAATCCTTTTTTACGAATCCTTATTTCTTCTCACTCTCACTCTACTCCTTATTTTTCTTTTTCTTTTTCTTTTTTCGTTTTTGTTTTTCATCACGTACATGTGAACAGCTTATCTCATCGTTTACTGAAACTTTACCAGTTGCCTTATTGACTTGCTTCTGTGAAAGAAATAGTACGGAATTGAGATTGAGGCTGGATGTATAAAGATCTTCTAGAGGTTTATAAAATTGTTGGTGCATTTGTTCAGTCGTTTGTTGGTAAATGTTTTCAGGTCAGTCACGATTCAAAAGCATATCCGAGGTTTCAATTTGCAGCTATACGGTATTCATTACTTCAGCTTTTGTGCACTTTGTTCCTCATGTGGATTAATTTTAATTTTGTGTTGTTAGGTTTTTGTAGCGCAGCGATTAGATGTTCCTGGAGCTTGGCAAATGCCTCAGGTATGCTGATTTTTCTTTTTGATATCTGTTTTTATTAAATTAGAGCTTAATAACCTATACATCTCCTTGAAGTAAGTGCTCTTGAAGACATTTGGGACTAGCATGCTTATCTCGGTAACTCATGCTTACCGAGATAACCAGGTAGTGAATTATCGAGGAGTGCGGGGATCTGGTTAGTGCAGGGAGGTATAGATGGAGAAGAAGACCCTCGAGCAGCAGCGTTTAGGGAACTGAGAGAAGAGACCGGAGTCACCTCTGCAGAGTATTTGGGAGAGGTAAGAACGTTCTCAAGTAATACATGCTACTTTTTTTCTTTTCTTTTTTGAATTCCTGATTTAATTGTCTCTTACTGAAGTGTAATTATTTGAGAAATTTCATTGCTATGTGAACATATTATCAGATTTTTGCCCAAAGATTCAGTTGGTCCACGTATTGTTTGGGAAAAGTACACCATGCTGGAAACTCTTATCATGTCGCTTAAATTCTAAGCGGTCTTTTAGAACCATGCTTTGATAAAATGGCCTTGCAGGTGTCTGAGTGGTTGACGTACGACTTTCCGCCAGACGTGAAAGCGAAGCTTACTACTTTGTGGGGAACAGAGTGGAATGGACAGGCTCAGAAATGGTCAGTAGGATACTTGCCAAATCAAGTCAGATATCTTCCGTATGGATATGTTTTGTTGCCTCCATGCATTCCAGCGTATCTATCTTTCATTTATCTCACGTGTTGAAACCTCGAGTTGTTTTTTTAGTCTGCATGCTAAATACCGCATTCTTTTTCAGGTTCTTGTTCAGATTCACTGGCAATGATAGCGAGATCAACTTGATGGGCGATGGTTCTGAAAAACCCGAATTTTCCGAGTGGAAGTGGGTGCCAGTAGAAGACGTCATAAGAAATGTATGAGTACTTTTAATCTTTGTGTTGTACTCGTCCTTGATACCCTTCTGGGATTCTGAATCATATCTTTCAGTGTAAGTTTGGTAGAGCTTTGAGAAATGTTAGTTATTTTTAGTAGCAAACATATCGCTGCAGTGTGATTATGGCCTTCTCATGTGGCAAGAGATGTGAGCAGGCAGTGGCATTCAAGAGAGAAGTTTACGAACGAGCATTCCACCATTTGGTCAAGTTTATGAAGTGATGACTAATATCATGAGCTTTTCCAATGCGCTTCCTGGCGCTGTAAGAAGCGCTGTTTGCCGGTAGCGCTTGTGGCATGATGAGTTAAGAGTTTAGGAGCTATGGTTACGAGTATTACATTAAACCATACGTTATTCTACTTGGAATATCTGGGCACAATGGTCGGAACACGAGGAACACCATATCGCTTAGTAATTAGTCTGCTATAAAATGGTGGACAGTTGTTAATTATAGGGTTCTCTTTGTCGTAGATCTAGCTGGTTGTACTGTTTCTACACCCAATCAATTGGATACTTTCTTCGCCAGAAGGGGACAATTTGGTTGTCAGCCTTCACATCCATGAATGTTATCTGAAGGTGGTCAATTATACATCTTCACATCATTGACTACAGTGGAAAGAGTCTCTGGACATGAAAGGCCTATTAGCAATTAGACAACAAATGATAATGGGCCTAATCTACACCTTAGATGAGACAATTGCAAACATAGAGGGGTTTTTTGCAAATACTCAGTGTTCTTAGACTAAATGGATATCTTAGAAATAGATTGCTCACAAGAATGTGATATTCAAACCAATTTCTTGATAATATGTTTATTGTAATTCTTCAATTCAGGACAATATTTAAGAAATAGCTAGCAAAAAAAGTGAAAATTGGATCAACTATACTATTGTAATATACTATTGTAATAGAGTCATGATAGAAATTTGTCCAAATTAACTCCATCTTGTCAAATTTTATTATGTGGGGAGGTACATAATCTATATCATTTATATATACATTGGATCCCAATACATGTAGCAAGAGCACAAAAAATGCACAATAAACATAAATGATCAAAGCTTTAGTAAAGAGTCAAAAAACAAATACAACTAAAAGATTTGCTCCACATTCTATAAAGTATTACAAAAGACATGAAAAGAGACATATTTTAGTATGATTGATTGCAGCAAAGTAAATAAATAGCAATACAATTAAAAATTCAATGAATAGTAAAGACAAGGCAAGTCCACATCAATCTTTAATATGCTAAGATAGTGTAGAGACACCAACATATAGAGAATATAGGTGGAATTTTAGATGGAAAAAAGATTAGTTAAATATTACCTAATCCAATTATATTAGTAAGTTTTGAGGTATATAGAATCAAAATACAAACCAAATCTGAAGCAGAGATTCATCCTTGGTCATTGCAACAATTACATCTAAAAAGCCATGTTATAAATGTTACAAGAATAGTTGGTTAGAGAAGTGATTATAATGCCAATCTATGTTGTGTAAATGATTAAACTATTAACAATACACTTGTACTATTGTAACATGTTCATACTCACATGATTGTCTAAAGATTAGGACAATCACTAATTTGACTTATAAAAATAAGGTGTGTCTCTTTGATTGTGATTCAAAGACAACAAATAGAATATAATAGAGGTCTCTTTAAGAACATATGTTGCCTTCACACACAAGCTATAAGTTCATAATCAATTCTTATATTTAAGTTTGAATATCTTTTTAGTCCAAGAAAAAAATTCATATTTATAGAACAATTAGATTTTTTTTTTTTTTTTTTTTTTTTTTTTTTTTCTAGTAATTCCTACTTAATTTGATGAATTATATACAATTGCCAATTCTTGAGAAAAACCAAGTTTTAAATAGAATTAATTAATGTGTGATATAAGATTTTCTTCTTTCAATCCTACATTTAGTATAGATGCATATTTTATACTATAGCATTTGTAGATTTAATGGTTTATTTAACATATTTAAATAAAGTAGCTACTTCTATAATATATAACTTAAATGTAATATATTCTTAATTTAAGAACATCAATTGTGTATTAAGAAAGATTAAAATAAAGTAGTTTATTTTGCCTAAATGCATAGTTTTATATTTTAAAGGATACATTTGTTAATTAAAAAATTAAAAAATTAATCAATTAAATAGAAGTAAGATAAAATAAAAATTTACATATTTATTTTACCTACCATCAAAAACTTTTTTGTAAATATTACTTTCATGCATTTAATACAATACTATAAATTATATTTAAGATATTAAAAAAATAAAAAATAATCTATCTAATACTAATTATTATAAAAAATATTTTAAATTAAATCACAAGACTTTTTATCTAAATGAATCTCTTAAATTACATGATAAGATTAAAATATGAAATAGAAATCAATAAAAAAAATTTATAATTATAAAAGAATATTTAAAAGAAATAAACCTAATATTATATATATATATATGATTTTAATTTTTTTTGAATAATATTTAAAATAAAATTTCATATAATTAAAAAGAATATCGTACTATATCATTCATATAAGTGAATATGTGTAACCCTAAGATATTTTATATAAAAAGATAAATTTAATTTAGTTTCTTTTTTTAATTTTAATTCAAAGTTTTTAACTTAAGTATTAAAAATTCGATCTATAACACAACATAAATGCTCTTCTTGTAATAGATTTAGACAATTTATCAAATTTTATCATTTATTTTTGTAAATATCTATTTTATTAAAGAATAGGAGAAGAATTGAAAAATTAAAAATATTGAGACAAAAACAATATATCCTTCTATATTCTTTTAAAAAATATTTTTTCTAACAAGTTTTCAAATAAGCACAAAAGATCTTGATTTTGTTTTTAATAAAAAAAATACTATCAAATTATGGTTTAGAATTAAATAGAAAATATATGGAAACATATATTTTATATAAAAAAATAAGATTAATTTATAAAAAATAAAAAATAGAATAAAAAAAACAAAATTTTTCATTTTAAAATTCTATAATAATAAAATACATAAAATAAATGACTTATATCATATAAGAAGGTATCTTTAGACTTTTATCCAAAGTTATATAAAAGCCATTCAAGTTATATAGATTGAATTGTGTCATGGACATACATAACTACTTAGATAAAAATGATTAGTTAGAAGGTAAATGAAGGTAGATTTGATAATATCTTATGGACAAGCTTCTTAAAAGCTTGATAGATGCAAATTTGACTTTAGACGTGTTTGTAGTTCATTCATAGGTTAAAAACTTGGCCAACAAGTTGGACTTGTGTTGCACATATTGGCAAGTTGTGGTATAAGTTGTCCATGTGGTGCACATGGAAGAAACTTGCATTGCAAATTACACACATGTTTTGCAAGTTGGATATGTATTGGAGGTCCTATAGAATGTTGTTGCATATCCCTTAGTTAGATAGTATATATTGAGGCAAGAGTGAAACCTACTTCACTCTTGTCAACATCTTTCTAATCTTTAGTCTTGTTTCAAGAGTCTTTAGATTTTTTTTTGGCAATAGCCAATATAATTCAATTTTATATTATATTTGAGTAATTATCTATTCTTTTTTAGTAACTAAGAGTGTATTTTTCTTTAGATTTTTTGTGATAAATGTCCTTGATAGATTATTGTTTTAGTATTCTTTGTGGCTAAAGCTAAAACAATGACCACAAATCATTCAAATTTATATGTGATTAAACTTGCATAAATAGATTACTTAAATAGAATTGTTTAAGACATGGTAAATGATAAGATTTTAAGACTAAATGGTGTAGAGGTGGATTTTTTGAAAACTTTGAGAACATTGTAAGCCAAGACTATGTAGACCTAGGTAAAAAAAAATTACAAGTTTTTATTTATTTAAAAAAACTTACTAAGAAAAAAATTAAAAAGAAGTGATATAAAGTATCTACATAACTAGAAATTAAATTAATTTGGTTAATGCATCTTACAAAACATATGCCAATGATGACTTTTGGCTCTAGTTTTTTATTTTTTATTTAAAATAAAATTTAAATATTATTATTTATTAAGTAATAAAAGAGAAGAACATTTATGACCCAAAACTATTAAAAAGAAATGAACATCACATTTTAATTCAAGATGTAGATGGCTCAACTCTAATTATTAAAAGTAATGAAATAATTATTCAAAACAAAGTAGGATTATTCCATACATTTAACTTGGTAATAGATTCAATCATCAATAGGTGTGAATTATTTTCCTATTAATAATACAAAAGAATTCTTAGACTACAATAGATAGATAGGTTTAGATGGATTTGAACAAATGCTAAAAAAATCACCAAATTCCTTAACACACTGTTTTGCTTATTTCTTTAGATTTTAAAATAGTGAATAATTCTTGATTGTTACTATTATAAAATAAGTACAAAATAGTATAATAAGAAATTAGATATTCTAAAATATTAAACTGTTTATGAATTTTTTATACTCTTTTATGTATAATTCCTTAATATTATATAATGTGCATCTAAAAAAATTCTGATTTTTCAGAAAATAACATCTAAGCTTTTATCAGAATAAAGATTGCAAAGCATTTATGATATAAAGCAAAAACAGTAGGAGGTTTGGATAACATTGACTTTAAAAAGACACTCAAAGTATTACTATTTTTTTCGACAATACGAGCATTATCATAAATCAGGTTGCACTCAGTCAACGCAGAAATTGCTACGTCCCACTTATGCGGACCAAGTCATTCACGTTGCAACATAAATTCTTTCCTGCAATACCTCCCCTGCAATACAACTTTATATCCTTTCTTTAGTGCAACACAAAGTGATAACACAGTGGTAAGTCAAATTGTAAAGAAATCCATGCACTTCTAGCATTCGTAGTGGGTAAAGTTGTCATATTGCAGCAATTGGCAATTTTAGAAATGGGGAAGAATTATCTAGTAATGAGAAAAGCATGACTAAGATCACGCTACACACCATGTCTAGAAAGTAGAGTGGTTAAAAATTATTGTAATTGTTTACAACTAAACTTGTCATGGGCTCCTTATTTTCTACTACTAACTGCACAGTAGCTCCCCAAACTACAAAGGAGGAAGCATTTGATCCTACTGTCAGCTGTGGCGGCGAAAAGAATCTATCGTCAGTTTCCTATTTTACAGTTGAATCCATTAATCAGAGGGTATTAAATTTGAGTGAATGCCCCCAGATCTACACTACATATTGATGTCTGCTTCAGCACACAAGAACAGCTTCGGGGGTGTATTTATGGCACAATTGGATGATCAACCGGCCAGGACCATGGGCCTACACATTGTATTCCTAGAGGTGATCATAGTGATGAATGAGAGTTTTACACAAAAACTCCAGTTCGCAGTCGTGAACGCTTGTAATGATCAACTGGTGAACGAATTGATCTGCGAACGAAATCAATATGTTATTACTAATTCGATAGTCTGATCAAGCAGCCAGAATTTTCAACAAACCAGAAACTCTAAAAAAACACCGAGTATTAAGCTCAAAGTCCACTCAGTAGGTTAGAGCAAGGTCGCTCAAATGCTAAAACTAATGAGAGTTTCTTGGAAGTACTCACCAATAAAGTCTTGGAGATTATACTCCTCAGCTTGCTAGTGCTTAATCGATCCAAAAGTCTTCTGGCACCTGTGACTTCCTTGTCGGCCAACTGACGCAAATGATAACAAGCACCAGCAGTCACCATCTGCTTCCTGCACTTGGCATTTCCGGACAGGGCCTGAAGAGCTGCGATTGGAAATTGCTTGCCGACCTCCTTGAACCGTGTATCCAACAGTAGCACTAATCCAATAATACCCCAATCTTCAGCGAGAAAGAGCTTTCGGTTTTCTTCATCAAGGAGGAGAAGCGCCAAGGCCTGCCCAACGTTGACATCAAGGTAGTTAGCGAAGATGACACGAGCATACGAAGAATATAGACTTTGAGAAGTATGTAAGCAGAAAAAATAATAATAAATAAATAAATCTGAAACTAGGACACCATTTACCTGTGCAGAGTATTCCTGCGCCATCGTGGACTTCGCATCCAGAAGTTTCACCAGCGGGCCAATCACGCCGGCTTCGCCCAAAGACCTTCTAGACTCCATAGAACAAGCTATGAGACGAACTGTAGCAGCAGCAACTAGCTGCATAGATATTTTCCCTGAACGGAGGTGATTCGCGAGACGGGGCAATAATCCGGCATTCACTAGTGCGTCAATGTTGTCTCTGCATGCTGCTAAGTTACGCAACGCTCCCAATGCGATTTCTTGTGCACATATATCCAGAGAACTATCTAAGTATCTAATTAAAGGTTGAACAGCTCCATCACCTATGATTCTCCATCTGATACTGTCGTCAGAGACTGCAAGGTTTTGCAAGGTTGCCGCTGCATTTTCTTGAGCCATGCTTGTCCCAGATGATATTAAGTTGATGACGATAGGAATGGCGCCATCGTCAGAAATGCCTCTTCGGAGGTTTTCAACTGCTGCGAGGTTTCGAAGCGTACCCGCGGCAGCAGCTTGCGCGCCTGAGGTGCCCACGCGGCAGACTTCTGTCAAAGCCGGGACCCCTCCGTGCGCTGTAATAGCCCTGGCGTTCTCGTCAGAAACAGACAAACCCTGCAAACCAGCTGCTGCACTCTCCTGGGCGCGTGGAGAACCCGAATCCAAAAGACGAACAAGAGGTGCTATGCCCCCTTCAGCAACAACCGTGTGCTCGCAACTGTCGTTTAGAGCGAGCAAGCAGATGGCAGCAGCAGATTTTTCCCTGATAACAGGCTGACTGGCGTCTAAAAGATGCACAAGCACTGTCACCGCACCCTGACTAGCAACCATCAAAATGTTCTTGTCGTCGTCCGACATGATTCGAAGCATACTGTCAAGGGCTCTTTGTTTGCAACCTACGTTCCCAATTTCGAGATGCGAAATCAAGTTCCTTATGGTCCACCGCATGGCCTCACGAGAAGACTCTGGAGTAACATGACAAATCGCTAGAGGATTCTCTTGCATAATTCCATTCTTAATCATCAACTGGCAATCATGTATGTGAAGGTCAAGTTGGCCACAGAGTGAATCCAGGTTACTCTGAGTTTGAAGTTTTCCGCCGTAGTTCAACGCCGTACATTTCCTTGCAAGGCTCCGAGCTTCCCCTAACGTCTCGATCATAGTCTGCACAACAATGCGACAAGTTCATACGATAGGCAAGAGGTTGATGGTTCATAAATGCCTATCAGGCTGAAGAAGCGGGGGGGGGAGGGGGGGGGGTTCTTCTGCTCACTGAACCAGAGGCGTCACCTATCTAAGAAGGAATCGGTAACGCAAGCTTTGGTAGGAAGGAATGCACATTGTCTCAGAAATTCAAATTCAAGATAGATCATCACCTTCAAGAGTTCCTTGCAAGCCGCATTATCGCTAAGACAACGAAGATGCGACATCTCAGTGAGAAGAGCACGCAATTGCAACAAGCGATTCTCGATAGCTTTCCAGCGTCCAAGAAATGCTTTGACAGAAGCAGCGTTCGCTGTGACTAATGATGCCAATTGCTGTGCCTCCTGGAACATGGACTGTGCCGAATTCTTGTCGGCATTGTGAACTACACGTTTCCTAACCTGTTTACCTATTCCTTTCTCCTGTACTAGATTAACTTTCAAAGCCCCCATAGCTAGTCACTTCGTCAAGACGAGGCTTCACAGGCACTTCAAAACGACATTGTACCAACCTCACGTCGCAAAAGTCACCACTCAAGCTCTCCTCTAATCAGATCAAAAGGCGTACACTCCTATAAAACGCATAGCTCTACAGCCTCGACGCATCTCCTCAATCTGAACATTACTGCCACACCCTTACCGGCTCTAGCCAGCCATAACGCTCAATCCTCCTTTTCCAACACCACGAACTCGACCACAACATAGATTTCCTCTGCAATAACCACCAACCCCAGCACTGCGCCACGTACACTTGACTTTGTATATTTAACTAACAATCTTGTGAGTCAACCACATAGGCACCTCACAACAAATTCCAATGCCCTCAATGTGAACCGCTAACTCATGCTCTCAATCTCCTTCAAACTGCCTTCCAAATCACAATCCCTCAATCTTCCACCGACGTTTTCAACCACCACTTGCAGGTTGTTCTCAATCCAATTTGCAGCAACAAACTATAGTCCGACTGTAGCCCGAGTCATAAAGAGAGTGAGAAGGAGGAGACGACAAGCTCGAGAAACTAAGTTCAACATGACTCTCACAATGCCGCAAACAAGTAGTGAGGGGCGGGACATGTAGACCCAGGTCAGAGCGCATACCCGGGCACTTTTCCGAGAAGAATTTCACCCGCAATTATGAAAAAGGTCCTCCGATCTATTCCCAGACTCCAAGCGGGGAGAATAAAGCCGGCCCGCTGGAGTTACCATCGCTCACCAAACCGAGCGGGAGTTAGTGGCCCCCGCGGCGGGTCCAGCTGGGACTACTGCATGAACTCTCTTCTCCATTCAATGAGGCAAGGAAACCCTGGTGGCGTCTGGCTGGGTCCCGTTCTGACGTCCCTCCGGGGCACTTTTTAAGCGAACCGTTACTTTAATTCCTCCCCATTCTTCACTTCCGCGGGGTGGTGATGGACCTCCGAGTTGAGTTAACCCCCAACGCTTGCTCTGTAGCTAATCCGGCACGGTGATCTCCGTCAGGCCTTTTCAGGGCAGGGATAGTGGGCGAGACTGGAGGTCACGTTCTGCAACGCCACTCTGTGCTATCCCTCGTGGGGACGGTGATGAGTTCTTCAATCCATGGAAGAATTTATCCTTATTTTTTAACTAGTTACCCCCCCCCCAACACTGTTCATCCTTTAATACAGAAGTATAAATAAGCATGTGAGATACTGATATTACCATATTCAAATTTTATTGTTCAAATTATTCAGTGTAAACACATGTCATGAAGGCAAAATTTAAGAAATAATATATACTCTTGGAATTGTAACAAATGTTTGCAGAGACTCACTAATGTGCTAATTTGCACAGTTAGTTTTTTTTCTTTCATGTAAGCGTTTATTCTTTAGAAGCTTTTTTACACTATATTCTAAATAACAAGTTGTGCAACCGACTATCAATAGTTCTTAGCACACAAAAGTAAGTTCGTAATTTTCAAAACTAACAAAATATCCACAAATTAGTTTGTGAAGAAATTAAAAGAATGAAATTAGAAGTCATTTCAAGTAATAAGTATGACTTAAACTGGGAACTTGAAAACAGTAAACATCTTGTTGTAAAAACAACAACTTGGGCTTTTTCGGAATGTTTATTTATTCCTTATTTATTGTTTGTTTGAACCTCTTGTTCACACCTCGTTTATTCTTTGTTTGAACGTCTGTCCATTTCACCTGAACATGTAGAGAGAAATACATTTATATGTAATTTAAGCAAAAACAACAATGAGTTACGATGCTAAATACAATCATACATAGCAGGTTCTGGTTTTACAATTGTTTCTTCATGGATTGAATAGTACTAGTGAATGACTAATTGTGTGAGATTGGAAAGAATCCTGCTTGAGCAAGATCCAAAGTGTCATGTGATGATGAAAAAAGAAGGAAATCTCTACTTCTTTTTGAAACCATGAATTGGAATGATAGAATTTTGTACACACCATTACATATAATGAAACACAAACCTAATCACAACTGCATTTCAAGATCTGCTTTTGTTGTTATAAAATTCAAAACACTGAACACAACTGTGGAAAGAAGGATTCAAACCAGATACCTTTTGTAGTAATTTGTTGAAATACTTGATTCTGAATAAAGTCCACATCTACCCATCCATTTCATCCTCCACACAACAGGGGCAAGCACAGATCCAGTTTCACACTCTGAGATTCCAACACTGGACCTATCTGTAAAAGATGTGGGTTGAGTTTATATCTCCTCTTTTGTTGAAAGACATGTCTTATGGATCATATCTAGATTGATGCTTGTTGTGAGCAGATTCAAGATATGTTTTCTTCTGGAAAAAGGGAGTCACAGCAGATGATTTCTTTCATTCCACCTTTTACCAGGGACAAAATCAACATGGACATATCCCTGGACTGTGGATGCAGATGAGTGTTTTTTTATTTGACCTAAAAGAATGGGCCTGCTGTTTGTTTGTACATTTGCCTGCAGACAGCAGAAGGGCAATCAATCATGTCCTCTACCCCCTCTAGGATTCAATTTCAGCTGCAGCTTTTACACACACTCTCTGGCCATCCTGATTTCTGAAAGCAACTACAAACGGCCCCATGAACTGACTCCATGCCTTTGTGGAGCCAAACACTACCATTTGTCCACACATTCTCTGTGTCATTGGGAACTCTCTCTCCCTTCCATAAGCAACTGCCCAGTTACAATATGGTTGTGTCATGGTTTTCCATACTTCAGTATTAAAAGAATCCTTAAATAAGATGACATACACATGCACTCAATTCTACTTGATGAGGACTCCCTCCAACTGATTATGGGCATGGTTTGTGAATTCACAACAGGTGTGAATGCAGTAAAAGATGGCTTGTTGGGAGCATGTTGCTTAGGAACATGTGAATCTTCTCCCATGACTTGCCACTGTGTGTCTGGAACAAATACAGGGCTAGGGCAAATCATGGGTAAGACATGAGATGATAGTTGATTCCAGTACTAGCTTCTGCAAAGCAAAGCATGCATTGCAATCACTGCCTGGTAGGATATTTTGAGAGGATTGTCTCCATTCCTGTACAGGATTCTCCACTTTGCCACTTCTAGCTACTTCACATCATGTCTCCACAAAATCCACTGTGTTTTTAGACCACCACATCAAATCTTTCCATCTGGGTAAAAAGGGATGGCGCTTTTGGTCGAGCTTTCACCACAAAATCCAGCCAAGAACCTAAGCAGCTATTTCCACACCCCCCAAGAGAACACTCTGGCGTGGATCTTTGCTAAGCCAATCCCACATAATACTCTTCGGTACAGTACCCTGTACGCGGTATCCAGGGGGGAGTCAAGGGTCCTTTTAAGGCGCGCGAAATTCGTCTCACCGTCCCTGCAGGGGATCCACCCGCGCATCCCAGCACTCGGAGAAAAAAAAAAACCAAAAAAAAAAAAACCAAATCCAGCCGAGGTACGTTCTCCAGCATGGGCGAATCCGGAGCTAGGACTGTTCGCACAAGCCGAAGCTGCCATCGTCAGAGATGCTGCGACTGCGCGCAACCCATCTCTCCCCCCTGCGAAGCGACATCAATCATTCATGCAGAACCAGCCGTTCCATGCTCACGGGCGTTTGAAGATCCGTACCTCGTACAGTAGGGATTTCACACTATCGTATCGTAGTAAATCTGGAACAGTATGGACAGCGGTGTGGATTGGCACCGATACTAATGTTGAAAAGCGATGCTCCCTTACTTTTTCCCCCTGCCCCCGGGAGCTCCGACGCCGTTAAAGTTGGTCGTCGACGCGTTGCCACAACACGGTCAAATATCATTTATGAGCGGGATTTGTTTGGACAGGGAGCCCTAATCTCCACGTTTTCATTCATTCAAATAAACATACTTCTCGTTTCAAAGTAATAAACATCAAATAAAATACATTGTGGGTATGTGTGTGTGTGTATTTCATTTATTTTTATTTTTATTTTTTGATACAGAAACGGGTTATATGTAATTAATCCGCTCTGAGGTAATCTGTTTAATTCCATTTAATTGTCAGGTTCGATATGTTGTGCTTTGATGCAAGATTGAATCAAGCTTCATTGAGCGGAAAGAAAAAATAAAATGAAAATGAAAATGAAAATGAAATGCACACCCTAAATAACTTTTATGCATTTCGAGAGTGTTGGTGTCTCTCGCACAACTAAGAAGAAGATTTTGATCCTCCTGATGCTTGCATTCACAACGAGGATGTTATGTTGGGAACTAAAGCTCCCCTGTTTTAGATGCAGGATTTAAATTAGTAAGAGGTACATTAGTTTTTTGTCCAATTAATCAAAACTTGCATGAGAATGATGTCTACCTGTGATATATACTAATATACATCTAAGATAATCTAATCATATGGTTCCTGCAAAAAAGTGCGTGAATTAGCTAATTACTGCTTAGTGTAGGTTTCATGTTCGTAAAGTTCCTAAGATAATTTGAAGGTTATCCTCACACTTTTTTTGACGGGTGATGTGTTTGACCTATTGAGTTAATCTAACAGATAGGATCAAATCGAACGTCACACTCCAATTAAGTTAACACATAAACGCTGATTTTAAATAATATACTCAAATGCAATTGAATTATTCAACTTTACCTCATGAATATATTTTTTAAGGAATTTATTTGTGTACACATTTTTTTGATACTGTATATATGGAGAATTTGAGAATTTGAGCTTAAAAGTGAATGAGTGGAGTTTTTGTTTGTTTCAGTGATTTTAAGACATAGTTGATTTTATTCATGTTAATAATGTTTGCAAAGGAGATTAAAAAGATAAAATAAATAATTCCGTATCCAGGTTGAATGCAATGTGTTCTACTCGTGGACTGATGATTTTTTTAATTTAAAGGACACGAGGTAATATACATTACATTTTTCTGACTGTATGGTCTTAAATTATCACTGATGAAATGTGACTAGATAATATTTTTTTTAAAAATGGGTGTAAAATTTCACAATTTTTCTATGACTTCAAAAATTTGCCCTAAACTTTCAATTCGAAAATAAAATCCACACATGCTCTCATCTAATTCACCCAAACTTCTTTATTAATATCAACTACACTTAAAATCATGGCATTACACAAATAAGATTCACAACTGCTTTTTATCGTTTCTAAATTTTAACATACAGAATAACTTGGTTTTATCTTTACATATATGTACATATATATTTCATGGTTACCAGATATTAGCACATCAAAAACAAAATTTGCATACAGTTACAGGGTCAGATTTCTATTTCTTTTTAAATATTTATTTAGGGTTGTATTCTTTGGGAATCAACATTAAATCACAAGAATGTTAAACAGACCCATGTTTTTACTAAATCGACCTCCCCATGATGAAGAATATGGTAATTATGATGAATAAGGTTGGTTTTTGTTGGCTTTGGATCCAAAAGTGGACAAATGAGTCCAGAGATAATTTTTAATTTCATTTTTATTTTCCCATGAAAGTTAGAATGGGTGGGTCAGTTTAGTAAAAGTCTGGGTCTATTTAACATCCCCTATTATTACTCTGTAGTAATCCCCAGAATATGTAACTTTCACCATCTCAGACATGACCTAC